TTTAGTGAAAAATGTATTTTGATTATTCGATTAATGCACTCTTCATGTAGTAGTGTGCTCTGGTGACAAAGAATATTTGATAAGAGGTAAGAGAATCTGATGTTTGCAGAGATAATTTGGGCTCTGGGGCAGTAAAAGTTGCGCGGCCTCATGTATTTAAAGACTTTTTCACTTTTGCACTCATGTACACTGTAAGATATTGAGCTTAATTCCCCCTGACAACCCCTTTCATGCTCAGATCGAGTCCGGCAGCCTTGCTTCCGGCTGCGACCAGCTACGCCCCGGCGACAGAATAACCAGCATCAACAGCGTCCCCGTGGTCAGTTTGACTCGAGTCGTCGACCTGTTTGCTGCGGCCGGCTCCACGGCCCGCCTCGGTATCATACGTCAGACCGGCCTTATCGATCGTTGCGCAGTGGTAACAACGTTGAACAGCGTCGGTTCCATTGAGGGGACGACGCTGCCGGTGTCACCTACGCCAACCCGTCAGGCCCAAGGCAGCACAGCCTCCGGCATTGTAGCAACTGTTGAAGAAGACAGAGCTCAAAGCATTAGCGGTCAGGCAGATGGGTCAACCGCAGGGAGGACCAGTGACGGCGATGGAGCGTGGCGAGGAGCGCTGGCCAGTCAACAGGAGAGGTTGGTTAATTGCAGGCTTAAATGAAGAGCATCTTTGCAACCGGTTTGAAGCACATTGAAACGATGCCGGAAAAGTGTGAAAATAAGGCAGACTTATTGAGACGGAAAAACTGGGCGATAAATACCCAAGTTGGTTCAAAGGGTTCAAGTTGGGGCAGAAGCGATATCACATAGGGTCTCTGCTCACGAGAAAACGTAGTGAAAAAGCTTGACTTTTGCATAAAATTCCAATTTTTCAATGCAATTGGAAATATTATGGGTACCAAGCAAAATCACTACTAACTTCAGGGAATCGCTGTAGCTCGTTATTTAACAGATATGAACAATTGAAGCTACTATGAATAGGCAACACGCGGTCAATTAAGGGAATAAAACTTAAAAATCATGAATATAATTTCACTGCAATTAAGATTAAAAATTGGAGATGTAATTCATTGCTACATAAAATGTGCAAGTGTATTTTAACGAGATTAAAGGGTCGATTTGACCACAATAGGTTGGCAAATTCTTCTTGGTCTGATGTGGTCTGATTTTGGACGTTAGACAAGAGTCTCTTCCTTTCTCAGTTCAATAATGCTGCGATTTCTGCTTTCATGCGTCCTATATGGCTCAAGATAAACATCATTTTTCGAGCTAACTACGAGTCGAAAATAACTCAAAAGAAGATATACAATAATATGATCTGCATATTTTCCTCTCAACGAATGTGTGAATGTGGATTAATATGTGTGCGTGTATTTACATGCTCGACTATCTACCTATTTATCATT